ATGATGATGATCCAGAGGTTTCCAAATTATTAGGCATGAATTCACTGTAATCCCAAAATTGCAATGGTACTTCTGTATCCTAAACGTTTTCACATAAAGAAGAGACGCTTACATCTCCTGCAATCTTACATCAACAAATACTTACCAAGTTGTCTCCTTCTGTTATTGTTCCTAAAAAGAAAACATGTAATGAAACGTGATGACAAGGTAAAACTGTGGACTAAAAATTGCCCTTTTCAATAGAGATAAAGATCACTTTCGGAATTTGAATGGAAAGTGCCTTCATTCTTTTCTTAATTTTCGACATCTATGTGCTTATCACCAGGTAATAGGGTCCCTTTGACTGCGCTGCCGCTGGTGCTCTACAAAAGTTAAGTATTATAGCACTTTATCCGCTTTAAAAAACAATGGTTCCAAACTCGAGACTGGAAATAAGTGGCTTGGTTATGACTGGTAAGTGTATTGCAAAATGGCAAAGAAATAACAACAACAGTCAGCTTTTACTTCAAATCCGTCCAGTTAATTCAAATAAGTGTTTACTGTATACCGGCGAGGTCAGTAAGCTAATAAAATAAGGCAGAAAACGCAAAAAACGAATTCTTTCTTAAATACCTGATAACAAGATTCAATACAAAGCGTTTGTATTTTCAGGCTTTTTATATTCGAAATCGATTAGAAATCTGGAACGTTGGGAGATGCTTTGTTTAGGGTACAAATATTTTAGCAACAGTAATGAGTGGATGGCACGGCAGCTCATTTACTTTAGTCAGTACGGAGGTTTTATTCACGGTTTGTCACAATACTATGTGAGAATCTGTCATATATAGGAAAGTAGGCACCGCGCGTGAGAAATGTCACTTGAAAAGGAAAAAAGTGATGAGATCTAGAAATTTTATTGCATTCTGTTGAAAGTGAACTTAGAAAGATTACCACCGAGGCTCATAGCCAGCGTGGTAGGATTTACTTCCGTAAAACTGAGAAATAACAACGCTCAATGTTCTCCTGACGTAACACAGAAAGTTTGTCCCCTGAAGTTTAACTTAGGCCAAAACGCATTATGAAAATCCCGAAGGGATACTCCCTGTAGCCTACAATAACGTGTTATCCTAGTTTGTCATTACCGTCGGGTTTCCAAATGGGAGCTTGATCGCAGCTGGTGGTGGTGTTGGGGACGAGATCACATCACGAATAGCGAAAGCTAGAGCAGCTTTCGCCAACCTGCGACACCTGTGGCGCCGCCATGACATCCGATTGTCCCTTAAGGGAAGGGTGTTTATCGCCGCAGTTCGTAGCGTTCTGCTTTACGGTTGCGAGACCTGGCCTCTCCGAGCGGAGGATGCTAATCGACTTTCTGTGTTTGACCACCGATGTCTCCGAAGCATTGCTCGTGTCTGGTGGGAACACCGGGTGAGCAATGACGAGGTCCGTCGTCGTGTGCTTGGTGCAGATAGTCGCCCTCTAACAGAAGTAATCGCTCTACACCGCCTTTTTTTTTTTGGTCACGTATTGCGCATGCCTGCCCATCGACTTCCTTTCCG